ACTTAGAGCTAACCATCGAGCTAACGCTGTAGGCAACTGGAGAGAAACATTTGAGCTCCAAACTGTTTCAGAAATAATGCTTGAAGTGGTTGGGAACATAGTATGGCATTTAATCACGGCAGCGTTTAGCTGAGCTTCTCCCGGTAGAAATCTCTCTTAGCAGGGAAAGCTTGTGTGACGCTACAAAGGGGCGTGGCTAGCAGCAGCCATTCCATTTAAAGCAGAATCAGCCTTTTTGGAACAGGGCTGGAATAGAGGGGTATGAGCAGTATGAGGCATGGCTATAATGGGTGATCTGTTTGGTATTTTAAGCAAAAAACTTCACAGACATGTTTTGTGTAGGTATGGCCCTACAATATATTTTTCAAATATAGTATAATAGGTCCACTTTAAGATAAGGGTATACAGGGTGAGGCAACAATTTGTAACTTTTAAATAACCAAATTTTAAATACATCTCTTACATTTTGGTTTCCTGGGATCCAAACACACCAAACATTCACAATGCTTTGGTTGTATTACTTTGAAACAGTCACTCTGTTAGTCATTGTCCCTTAAAATATCTCTATTGAGCCTGATTTAGCTTCAACTAATGCAATAACGTGCCCATACTATGAGAACATGTTGTACTGGGTAGTTTTGACTTTGGCTTTGTTATTAAGATGATCGAGATAAAGTGCTATGCAAACAAGTAAAACAGTTTTAGGGTTGGCTCGTTAAGAAGACAACAAATGATGTTTACAGACCAAATAAATGGCAAAATGATCTGATTAGATTAGATTAGATAACAAGTATGGGCACTTAACCTGTTGAATTTATCTCAGGTGTGTTTAACAGAGCTTATCATGAGAGGCGCAGAGTTCTTCCCCTCCTGGGTGAGGCAGGGGCTGAAGATTGGGTACAGACTCTGGTTGAAGGTATCCACGAACGTGTAGAGATGCTGACGCGCCTTCACGTCGTAGAAGCAAATCTGGCCCCCTTCGTAATCCAGGAAGATTCCCACCTTACTGGGCTGGGACGGCAGCAGCAGAGGGAGGCGGGACGAAGCCAAAGCCTTCACCTCCCCGTTCTTCAGCCACAGGCACCAGAACCCCCCCTCGGGATTCAGCTTGATCTCCCCCTTGCGTCGGGCCGAGGCGCCGGCCATGCCGAGCGTCCAGGCCGTCTTGTGCCCCATGTCCACCTCCCAGTAGTGGCGCCCGGAGGTGAGGCCTTCTCGACCCAGGACGAAGAGGGCGGGGCTGAAGCGTTTGGGACCCTCGCTGTGGGAGGTCTTACGCTCTTCGTATCTCACCTGGCGGCCGTCTTCGGACACAACCAGGTTCCTCTGGGCCGTGGCAGGGTCTAAAATCACCTCACCTGGAAATCGAACAATAATAAAAAACATTATATAACAAAATGTACAGTTTCATAATAATGGATTGTCTGCTTGATGCAACAGAAAAATGTATAAAGACTGTTAAAAAATGTCCCTGTTACAGTTGTTATGGCACTCTTAATTTAATGATAGACCAATGTTATCAGTTGATTAAATGGCTATTATTATTGGGTGCATAGATTTAAGGTGGTATGGCTCTATTGCTCCTAATTGACTTAGTCTGATTTCAACAGCAGAGGTTTAAATATGTAATGAACTAAACTAACACTTAAGTTACGTAAAAAAAATCTTAATTCAACCTTAACCTTGATCTTTTCCTAAGGCTAACCATGTACAATTGGTGTCTAAATCAAACCAAGTTCTGTTATTCACATTCACAACCTTAACCCTGTGTTAATAAGCCCAACAGTTTTACAACGTGAGGGTAGGTGCAGTATGTCCTGTATCGCATTATAACCGTAGTGGTAACAACTGATAACGGTCATATAATGAACTGATAACATTCAAAATGGGTGGAGCAGAAGTTCTTAGATCCTTAAATCCAGTAAAAATTGCTATTGCACAATGTTGCATACAAGTACAATTTGTGGTAAATGTTTGCTGAAGCTTTGCGGAATTCAAACTTCCCAGTCAAAAGACCTGTGTGGGATTGCAAGACATTTAACTGGTATTATTATATTTTATAAATAATGTATCTAGATTCCAGATTCAAAGGCTTTATTGCCATATGCACAGCAGCTACAGTGTATATATGGCAATGAAAATCTTAAGTCTATATTTAAAATATCTGTAGAAATTATTACAATATTTCCATTTTAAATTATATTGTCCAATGATTACAATACATTTGACACTGGCGACATGCCTCTGGATTGCGTTTGGATCTGAAGAAGTAGGGCCATCTTGTGGCCAATTTAGAGAACTGAACATCAAGTTTTGTACTTTCAAAAATCCTTTATAAGAACAAACCAGCCTTGGAAAAAAAACAGAAGACGAACAAATATAAAATGAATGTACTCACTTGAATAGTTCTGTACCTTCCGGAGCTCTGCGAGAGAGAAAGAGATATCGTGTCAGCGAGTCATTCGTCTATAGAGTAATGGTGTCAAAGTGGAAGCAGATGGCACGTGTGGGTGGTAAACATGTATCTGATCCAGAGCTATAAACGCTGAGAGACATGTGCTGCTGTCACTCATCTCTCGCTGATTCCAAGTGGCTGAACTGTGGCATCAACACTATCTCCATCTGTCCCACCATCGTGTGTGTGTGTGTGTGCGTGTGGCGCAGTGATGAGTCACGTTTCTATTTCAAAGTGCTCGTACGTACACTGACCTATGTGTCGCTGTTTGGGGATTTTGTGCAGGATATGTGGTGAATATCAGACGAGGAAGGGTGGATTTTGTTTTCATTTTGCATTTACAATATAAAAAAAGGGTCTGCCGAATGCTTTTATTTTGAAATTACAACTTTTGAAAGGCTCCAAATCAAAGTTTGAAAATGGCACATTTCGAAAAAATGTCATCCATTTATGATTTTTTTTTTTTAAATACGAGTTTTAG